CTACCCGAGACTGTTCACATCGGAGACGAACACTGTGCATACCATACCCGAGACTGTTCACATCGAAGACGACCACTGTGCATACCATACCCGAGACTGTTCACATCGGAGACGACCACTGTGCATACCATACCCGAGACTGTTCACATCGGAGACGACCACTGTGCATACCATGCCCGAGACTGTTGACATCGGAGAGACCACTGTGCATACCATACCCGAGACTGTTCATATCGGAGACGACCACTGTGCATACCATGCCCGAGACTGTTCACATCGGAGACGACCACTGTGCATACCATACCCGAGACTGTTCACATCGGAGACGACCACTGTGCAAATCAGTTTACGGGAGACCTTCCTTTAACTCACCATACGTTTTTCTGTTTGGTCGTGTTTTTTCCGGCACGAGAAATAGAGCACCAACATTGACCCCTAGTCATGTTAATGATTGTTCGAAAATTCGGCAAAGTCCCAACTCGTGTCAGCCTGACTTTAGAAGCACTCCAAAGCCGCCCACGGTCATCGGAGTCGACTCATGAGCATGCCGAACCGAAAATCCAGACATTCCGAGAAAAAAGTTGACAAACCGGTTTCACAAAAAAAAAAATAATTAATAAATAAAAAAAAAATTCGTTAAACTGGCCGGCGCCCCCGTGTTTGTTTGAGGGTTCAATTGTCTATAGTCACTTTTCTGCGTGATCATTTGTCCCAAGGTTCACGTGTCCTGTATTATTAGTTTTTTAGGGAGTTGAACAGTGACCCTTTGCATAATGCTCCCCAAGTAGCTGCTATTGATATAATTTCCGCTGGATAAGGAGGGAGAGAGTCCACCAGCACCGTTGTGACATATGACGTACCGGGTACCGGTATGTAAAAGCCTGTGACTCATTCCTTTAACTATAACCACTCCCGGGGAGAGATACAGAAGAAATCCTCATCCCCTTCGTCTTAGGTGTCTACAATTCAATGAGTCCCTGTTAGTACTGTACCATACCGGTACTGTAAGTTTAGCCAAGCGTACTGTTAGTTTAGCCAAGCGCTCAGCTGCGCTCAATTACTCGTCTGCCAGTTACCCCCCCCCCCCAACTAGAGGCCAGAATGTCTTGTGTAACAGGCCCGGGGACACACACACACACAAAAACAAAAAAAAACTTTTACTAAACAATGTTATAAAATAAAAATCAAGGCCAGAGTTAGCAAAGGGTTTTAATGAAGTATACATTTTGATGAAAATTTGAGTAAACATTAAGTACAAACTCATTAACTTGGTTTGAGGCCATAACAGAAAGGGAACTCAAGACTAGACAGTTTCTTATCAGATCTACATGTTGGTTAGAAGTACCTGCAACTTAACACATACAAGGAAAGGCACCATTGGTTAATAATGCACATATTAAGTTTAATAAATATAATTATATCTATAGCATAAATGACAAATATCAATAGTTCATAGTGTTGCAATAAGTAATTTTGAGCTGTCCTCTGATAAAATTATATTTCACTTCTTAAAAGCCCAATTATTTACTGTTAAAAAGGAAGGCAGTCTTTATTGACATTGGAGCTTGTCTTGGAGAAATCATATAACAGAGTTTGCATGACTTCATAATAGCAAGTGGGTAGAATCACAATGTTTTAACTGTAATTTTCCTTTGTGAATTTGATAAATGACATAATAAATTTTTCATTTACTACAAATATTTTGTACAAATCTACTGATTGAGAAACTGATGTCTCTCTGAATCTCAAAAAACAAAACAAAAACAAAAAAAATAAAACAAAAAAAATCAAAACTACCAGGTACTGGTATATTTAAAATTTATCAATACATCACATGTAATCCATTATATTTGGTACTGTATGAAGTTTGTTTTAAGTTTCTAAAACTTGTCGAATTAAATTTAGGTGGTAAATAATGGAGACAAAAAAAACCAACAAATACAACCATGTAAAACAATTTTTGTTAAAATAATTTTACTACGGTACTGTGATAATATTTTTTTTGTTTTCCTTGCTCCCGTTTGTTCTTTTATAACATAAAAATTAAGACTGCGTTTTATATGTCCACAAGTACCAGTTGCGGTACCCGGAATAAGGTGATTAGGAAATCTAGTGCAATTAATTACACTTTCTACTCACAACAAAAATGATGGAAGGCACAAATCTAAAAATCAGAGATTAACATTTGTTTTACAACATGAACATAAATACACATCGAGATTACAATGTATGAGTTAAAGTTAAGGGCATCTAAATAAAATACCTGAGGCAAGTTTCAAAGTTCACCCACTAAGGAATATACTGTATGTGACCATCTACGGTTAATAATAAATTATCCATCAGTAGAGTAGTTTCCATGATCAGTGGATACTTTCTTACCAAATAATTTTACCTAACAATTTGTTTCACTCCACAGAAACGAAGACTTGTACTGGTACAGTAAAGAACATTAAGATATTAAGCTGGACAACAACAAAAAAAATATTATTTTCTTTTTTCTTAAATAAATTACAGGTTACAGGTACATCTTGTTTCTCATTTTAATTTGAATTACAATAAAAATTACAAAAAAGATTAAATACACAAATGAATTAGATTTAGAGCAATTTAATACCATAAAAAAAAAGTATGATATATTATATTCATAAAGAACCCAATGACAGTTATAACTACAAGAGGAAGTAGAAATGGTATGTTAATTTTTTAGCCATTCTCATACATTCTCACTGATCTGCTGATAAATTTAAAAGACACAGAATATCAAAGAACAATGTTGCAGTTTAGCTATTTATTTTTATATTTTACGATTACTGGTTTACCTGGCAATCCTTTTTTTTTCATCTATAATTAAACTTTCTAAGGGAGAGAAATAAATGCCATCACCAATGGGTAGTTAAGAAAAAGATAAAATTATAAATAACATACAGCAAGCAGATACAAACAAAATAAAACCATGGCCATTGATGGTGAGCCTGGACAGTGACTGGTAGATAATGACACAATGCCAAAATATGTTGTTGTTTTTTTCATTGCTAAAAATTGTCATTATTTAA